AAATGCTTGACACCAAACACTAGTTTGCAAAAAAGAAGTGAGTAATTCACCTCTTTAGACCCAGTCTGTGTGGCAGAATTTGTCCTGTGATATTACACAAGTCCTTGATATCCCACCCTCCAGCCTTCTCTGGATACTGCTTAAAGAGCTGTTTGGACATCAGCCACAAGCCAAGATGCCATCACACCAGCACAGCAGGGAAACCTTCTCTTTGGTAGTGACAGACATCTGTTATTATTATTCCTCCTGTGCACTAAAGAGAAAGCAGAAACTTGTCTTGCCTAAGGATAATATTCTGATTGTTTCTAGGAGGTCTCATTAAATGGTGGCAGTTTGTAGGAGGGTAATGATGTTGACAGGGGGCATAAAAACATTTTCTTTCTCAGTTTTTGTCCAAGATGAACTGTAAATGTTTGCTGGTTCAAATCAGCTGCGCAGGACTGGTAGGTATGAACAGACAAGAATTAAAAAGTCCAAATGTGGAGCAGATGTTGAGTCAAGACCCATTGAATGCTTAGCTGTAGAACTGAAGTCCTTCCTATCTTCTTAAAACAGGTGACATAGGGTAACTTTCCCACTTGTCTTCCTTCCCATGCTTAGAACTCCAGTGTCAATACTCTTTAACATCTTCTGTTGTTTCAATAATGGTCTGTTTATTATTAGTTGTGCACAGTTCTATTGCTTCTTTTGATGTTTGTTTTTGTCTTTTTCCAGAATGAAGATTCAGAGCAGGGCAATGTCCTTCACAGGACTTGGCTAAACTTTTGTCCAGTTAAGTTCAATCTGAACAAATTCTTATGGTGTTAACAGCAATATAGAACTCAAACACCACCTGCTTTCTGTTCTGAAAGGAAATTATTTCTTGTAGGTACTCATAGAAACATTTTTATTCTGTTAATGACTTCAGCACAACTAACTTTAAAAGAAAAGAACAAATATTTAAAACAATATGATAACTTAAATGATGGACAAGTTTTTAATGTTCACGTTTGTATGTTCTTATGCCTATCTGTATGTCCCAAATCCTTAACTCCCTCCATAAATCTGTCTCATTCTTGGGACACCAGCATTTTGTAAGCTTAGGCTATGGTGACAGCATGCCAGAAATAAAGACGAGCTTCTCTTTTTCTTCCTCCTCTAACCTACTGGAGAACATGAAACCTAATGCAGCAGCTGCCATTAAAATCCAGATGGAGGTGGTAGATAAGCAGCTGGCAAGAGGAAAAGATCTTTTTTTCTGGTGAATACTACATTAGAGTTACCACTGCTCATTAACTCTGCTGTTAGATTCTAGTTAACTCCTTCAGTTCATTCTGTTGGAATTTGGGGATTTAAAGATTGTCCATTTCTAGGGCTGTGATTTCTATGATGACATTGATGAAGCTGCATCAAGAAAAAGAGAGACTTATTCTGAGGGGATTAAGATGTTCATGGGCATCAGATCCATGGAATATTCAAAGCCTCAGGAGCAAACCCATTGCCTGGCTGTCAGCTCACAATATAATTAATCTGTGATGGTGGATAATTGTTTTGGAGAAATCTTGAGAAGACAATAACCCACAATAAAGACAACCTAAGGGAAAGACTAAACAAAACGAGTAAATCATCATTTAAATGTAGGGATAACCAGTGAAGGGACTCATCTTGCTTCTGGTCTCCAGAAGACATAGGTGCAGTCTCCCTTTTCAAATCCATAAGATTCCAACAAACTTGCCCTTCATCTACACAAAGATTTAATGGGAAACATAACTTATTCTCCAAACTTCAGAGGGGCAATCAAAGGAGACAGTACAGCATGGATTCTCTCTGATGCTTTTGGGTTTCCTCTACACGTGTGCTTTGTGTCCTCTCTAACCAGGACTGGTTACATGCATTCACTCATCCCCATTCCTTAGACCAGTGATGTACTCTGATATCTGAGGAGAAAAAGTATTTCAGCTGTGGTTTGCTTTCTTCAGGATAAAGTTCTGAATGGAATTTCTACTCTTCGCTACCTTTCCAAATTCATTTACCTCACTCCTCCATTTCCTTTCCATAAATATGTGCTGCTTATTAAATCATGTCAAGATGAAGAATGTATGAAGTTTTTACCTTCATATAAGAATTGTTAATTTGTGATAACTCAAAGGAAAGCATTCATATTCTGAGAAAGGATACACCTCAATGGCCAAATGGAAAAAGCACATCATACTATTTGGGAGAAATGGAGGTTAAAAAAGTCATATAAATGCATATAGTTTGAAAGAAAAATCTTCATTTATTTTTAACTAAAATACCAGAAACTGACTGAAATGATAAAAATTTTTATCTAAATGTGTCAAAGCTTGTGTCTCTGATAAATATTCTGCCAAAAGTAAATAAATTTCCAAAGAAGTTAGTGTCCTGTCAATCTAGGCTTAATTTGCTATGTATAAAATTTCCACTGCTACAACAAAAGCTCTGTACAGAAGTATAGCTTGGCAGGAAGGCCAAACACCAGTCCAAAAGTAAAGAAACAATACATATTTTAGGCATGGGAAAGAATGTTTGACTTTTCCTAGTTGTGTTTTCCCTTTGTTGTTTCTTCTTCCCTAACATACTTCAAACTCCCCCATTTCAGTCCAATATATTATAACAGGCAACGGTGTCTCACAGTTTGAGAGCTGGGAATGAAGTATTTCTACCATCCAGAAGCTAGTTTTACAGGTTCAGAGGTGTATTCAATAAGCAGAGCTAGAGGAAAATGTGTTAAATAAAAAAGTGGTTTCCTTAATATTTACAGACCTGGCTGACTGCAGAGTGAGTTGCAGACACTCAGCGTCTAAAAACCAATTTGCTTCTACGTAGATCATTGTGGTTTTATAATACCCAGTTTTAAAGGTCTGGGACTTCAAATCTCTTATTATGCATTGTGGGAATTTTCTTCCTTGAATTTGTTTTCTGCTCAGTGACCCATGTGATAAAATATGTATGTGTATATCCTTGCTAACTCCTGCAATCTGGACTAATCCATCCCACAGAGAACTTGGATTGGCACCATTTACCATCTTGCTGTCTGAACTTCAAGGGTACAGTGACAAATGTGGGAAGATGTATATTAAATATTTAAAAGTTTGTGTGTCATAAACTTAATCAGATGGTGGCCAAAGGAGACAGTCCAGCATGTACTGTCTCTGATTCTCTATCCTATGGGAAGATGGGATATTTTCCTCTGTTCGTTAGAGAAACTATTGCCAAGAACCTGTTTTTAATCTCTCTCTGTTTTTTTATTAAAAGCTTTTTCTCTAGTTTGAGAGAATAGGTTTCACCATGTGCTGCTGTTGCCTCTTGTACCAATCTTTACCCACTTGCCCCATCCTCCTCTGGAACCTCCCCACCCACACACCCATTTCATCATCTTACTAATAGCACTTCCATGACACTGAACTGTTTTGTTTCCCCTGACAAAAAGCAAAGAACGGCTTATGTTACAACTTAATATTTAACTGATGTCAATGGCCATTTGTTCTGTCATGTAAGAGAGTGACAGAAAGCTTTGTTATTCATAGCTGTGGTCTGAAGTTGATATCTCCTTTTGTACATGCCAGGAGGTACAGTACACTATCTAAAACCATATTCCAACCTCAAGCAAGAGGTCAACAAACAATACTTTATCTGTCACAGACATTGATAAATGGAGGTTTACCACCATCTTCCTTCTTTGCACTGAAAATCAAGGGAAAAGCCACAAAACTGCTTGGAGAAGGCTTGTCTGGCATTGGTTAAGAGAGGTACAGGGGACTTAACTGAACAGCAATCTGAAAATTCTTGTTATTCACCAAGACTTTGACAGATGATTCCAGGCGATAAATTCGCTAAAAGCTGATCTTTTCTTGTTATCCTAACATAACTATTCACTGGCATGTGATTCAGAACTACTCCACACAGTTTCCAATGATGAGCCGCTGAGACAAGCTTGAAGGCCCAGATTAACCATATTTCCTTGGAAAAAAATTGCAGTATAACCATTTTAGAAAAGATGAGTAAAGATATTAGCATAATCACTCACTGGGGCAGCCTCACTGGACCGTGCTGGCAATGCAGTTATGTGGAACAGAGCCTTCTGTGGGGCATTTTCGCTCTCATATGAGTATACTTCTATTCAAAGCTGTGATTTCTACAGGTGGCTACTTAGGGATTCACATATAACTGAGGCCCTCTTTAGGCAAAGGTGTTAGACTCAATAATTTTTGGCCCTGTAGCACAACTAGATTCTATCATGCACTGAAAGACATGGGCCCAGTCTGCAGATCTTTTCCATGCAAAAGTCCTAATCTTCAGAGAAAGATGCAATACTCCTAAACCATTTAAACCATTTGAGCAGCATTTTCCAAATGGAGCATAAGAGTTTCCTCACATAGTCAAAGGAAAGGCAGTTACTGAACCACCCTCAACTGAAAGGGGAGGGGCAGAGGAGGGAAGTATTGCTTCACAGAAACCCCTGTCTAGAAACGGGCTTATGGCTCCCCTCTGAAAAGGTCCCAGGAGGCATAGACGTTTATAACGAAGCTGTGTGGGGCTCTATCTTGCAGGCCTCAAAGTGCACTTAAAACAGTTTTGAAAATACAAACCACAAGTTATTAATCTTGGGACACTCTAGTAACAAAAATAAAACCCAAATTGATCTGTCAAGTGCTCCTGTAAGATGCAATTGTATTTTCACTGCCTCTTGTATCATTCATCTGAACAGAATTCAGCCAGAATATTAACTGCAACACAAATTAGAGGCCAGGATGTGTTAGATTTTCACTCCACTTATTCGATGTGTGCACTGGAATTCAATATTGGAAAAAAAAAGAGTCCAGAAAACTTGGTTATGAGTGAATGAGTGGACAGAAAATTAACAATTATTTACTTTTTTCAAATGGAGATGCTGGTTTCTGGTAGTTGAGGACAAGGTTTGGGTTTCTTTTTATATTTATTTTAAGTCCAACACGTAACATACTGAGAAAACTCTGTGGACTTTTTTCATTTTCTCAGTTTCTTTTCAGCTTTCTATCCTGACACATTTACAGTAGATCCATTGGGCAATTTGGTGTATTAAAGAAAGAAAAAAGATATTTAGGGTCTTCTCGTTCTCTGGGTAGATAAAAGATCTCAGGGACACTGATGATGAACTGCTAGAATAAAGGGTCTCCCAAAAAGAAGACATATATTTTCAGTGAACATGGATACCAAACATGAAAAGAACTCAAAGGGCCATCTTTCTGGGTGGCAGATAAGGAATCATGTCTTTAGCCTTCGTTAGATGGGACAAGACAAAAAGAAAACTTGATACAAGTCTTATTAAAAGGACTCTTGGATCTACATTGTCTCTTTCTGTCTTCTGAACACAGAGAGCCATTACCACAAGCCATCTACCACATAAAAAGCCAGGTAAAACACCTTATCTGACATCTCCTTGGCGTCTACAAACTTAATAAAATCTAGTTAGGGCCTCTTTCACCCAGTCTGTTTAGAGATTTCCCATTCAGGTTTGTTTCTGAAGAACAGGTTAGCGACATTATGTGCTCCATATGATAAATTACAGCAGTGTAACAATGCTTCAGGGTTAAAGAAAGGATAGGAACAGCCTCATAAACACACAGAAAAGTTTGTATCCTAAAGAAAACATTGAAAGACCAAATTAAGCCCTTTGGATTTTTAACTCTCATTCAACAGTTGCTTTTTCATAGCAAGTGATTTCAAGAGAATTCAGTTCAAGAGAAACTAAAGTCAGAGACCAAGATGCCATCACTGCAAAGAGAACAGAGTCCTAAAATCTGCAATACGTGAAGTCAGCATTCAACAGCTCTTCTCTCATAGACTGGTAGATAGTTAAACACATAAACTATGGCAGAGAGTCCAGATTATTAAGAATTACAACCTGAAGAAAGAATCAGCCTTATATCACCAAACTGGCACCAAAGGGAAAAATGTACTGACTTGCTCTGTGCATACTCTACAACAACACCATACATTTAATCCGTGAAAACAAATGGAGATCAAAAACCAGACACAAGTTTAGGGAGGAAATGTTAATTTCCCATTCATTGCAGTGTTGTCACTAGCTTTATATATTGACCTAAGCCAACTTCCTGACATTACAAATACAGACCAAACCAGAGATATTCTCAAATAAGAAACCTGGTTTATTTTGCCTTTCACTACTGATCCAAATGATCAATATTAGGAATAAACCTCATATACTCACAGGGGGAATGAGGGGAAATCCTTCCATTTTGCAAGCTTGCAACATTCAGCCAACTTCGGAGTGAATTTTTCAGTTTTCAAACATCCAGAAAAACTGACTTGAAAAAATCACATGAAACAAACAAAAAAGAAAAAGAAAAAAAAAAAAAAAAGGAAAAAATTGAGATCCTTGGACTCTGTGAAGTCCCTTTGCTGTGATGGATCTCGGGATAGGAGAAGGACCCTAACAAGTTTTTATTCTTTGCCCTAATAGTTTCTGAGGTGAACTTCTTCCTGAGCTGTATGTGAAGTTCCTGATTTTATCAAATGTCTGTAGAAGGGAGATAGCTCGTGGGTCTGTCAGGGGCTGTGACATCACAGCTTTTAGCCAGTTTGCATAAATCTCATTGCAGGGTTGCGGCGCTGTAACAGGAAGTCTGCCCTGAGCCATGGGCAGGTGCTCACTGTATAATCAGCAGCCCAGAGCCTGGGCCTGCTACCAATAAACAAGCACATGGGTGCAGCGCTCTGGGGAAGACTCTGTGCTTCCCACTGTAGATGAACCGGAACGATGGTGCTGCTCTCTGGTTTAATAGAGGTACCGTAAAGACACAGTCCTGACAACTTCTGTGAGGACAGGGCGGTGGCATAGACTTGCTTTGATGATAGTTCTGTGTTGGAATTGGGTGGCAATGCTTAGAAGAAAGTTAAAAAGGAGTGTGCAGTTTGAAATACGCAGTCTTAGGTTTCTAAAAAACTCTGAAGTTAAGCCCATGAGACTTCTTCATAAACTTTGCAACAGAGTAAAATGATTCAGTGAAAGATACTTAATCCTCTCTTTTATTTCTTGTGATTTCTTTTCTGGCTCCTGCAAGGAGAAAATGAGTGGGGAAACAGAGAATGTATTACATGTCCCATGCAATGGCTTGACATCACTCAGATCCTGACTACCTATAACTGTAGAGAACAAGATTTGTAGGCTTGTATCTAAACAGTCAGGTGCTGAAATTTCTTGTAGAGATTTTGCTTTAGCTCTTCTCACATGATGTTCTCCCCAGAATTTATCCCACTGTTTTATCTGCATTTGGCTGCACTGAACAAATGCCTTTAATACTGAGGTTCTGGCAGGGGTAACTGGGCCGTGGGGCAGGATGTAGAGGATGGGGCGTTGCTACAAGGGGGGAAACAGTCTCATTCTGCAAAACGCCTTCTTGCTTCAGTTAGTTAGTAGTGCCTTGGAAAAAGCGAAGTTGCTTCGTCTGGGTTGTTCCCTTTCAATCTATGCCCATGTGCCACAGGTTCTGCTTTTGAAAGTAGCCCATTCACCACTCACCTGGGTCTATGGGTGAGGGGAATTTCAGCTACTACAGACTTCCTTGTACACTGGTAAAACCAGAGGCTGCTCACAAGTTCCTCTCATTCCTCACCCTAAAGGAACTCAACAAGCAAACCATATTGGCAATAGGATAAGAGCATGACGGGAGATCAACTCACCGGCATCAGCTGGTACATAAGTATTTCATTCTTATTGTATTCATAACATGAAATCTTGACTTTAACTTAGAAATGAACAAGCTGCCAAACAGTCCACTTCAGATGGTTGAGATGGTTCTCAAGTCTCCCCCAGGATACCACCCTGGTAGTGATCAGCAAAGTACAGTACCAGTGATAAAATCCAGTGCAAACAGAAGATAAGGGAGTGAACAATAGCATATACAAATCTTAAAGTGGGTATTGCATAGGTGATAAAAGTAATTGTGTCTTTATTAAAAAGGCCATTCAGAACGAAGAAGATATGCTATCTAATCTATCGTACACTGAAAGATAGCTTAAGCAGCTACTGGAAGGTTTAAAAATGGAGTGTTTTACACAGAGAGGCTTCTAATAAAGTGGAATGCAACTGTATTTCATATGCTGGAGGATATTTATGCACTGTCTCTTAGCACAGGAAATTACCTAATAAGGATAGATATTTTGCACCAGCCTTACTGCACTCAGGGAATGCTAGATTGTCACCATTGTTAACCATGTTTAACATATGAGTAATCATAAATTCATCAAGGTTATCAATATCAAGAATGGAATTGATTCTCTGTATGATGAATCAGAACCAAAGGATATGCCATAAAGCTTGAGCACCTGCAGAAAGTCCAGAAGTTTGGTAAGCTTCCTAAGAAGGAGACTATCTCCGTAAATAGAAATGCTAAAAGTGAGATAAAATACTTATTTACACTATATTTGTATAGCAACATCACTAGTAACAATCTTGCTAAAATTCAACATAGATTAATTTCTCACTGTTGTATATAACCGGTCTTTCATCCTTTGTTTGTAATCACAGAATCTTCTCACCATAAAGGAAGGCCTAACTAGAGATGATACTTTTGGCCCAGATCCTTGCAGTACCTTATTAGATGACTCACATGCAGAAAACAGATGAAGTTATCAAATGACTGTATAGTAGAGAACTGATTTCCAGGGGCATATGATGTAGACTGCCACTCACAGAGTGCAGTCTGACCTTCACAAAGGCTTTTGAAATAGGGAAGGGATCCTTCTCCATTTTGGGAATTTGGAGGACTAGGGAAAACCTGCTGAGTTGAAAGATTAAGTTTCTGAATGATTATTTCTGAAAACATTTACAATTCAGATTAATCTGAGAGATTTTCCCTCTAAACATCACCTCACAGTGTGCAGTTTCTTGAAACAGTTCTTCCCCTACCTTTACCCATTTTTTCTTCAAGCTATTTCTAACCACAAGCTACCAAAGCAAAAGGGTTTCAACTCACAGCCACATCACAGAGAGGTCCCGTTACCTCAAACCTTGTTTGGGGTGTGGAAGGTAATTTTTCGCCCTGTTAAAACCACATACAACATCACTCATCCTGAAGTCTTTTAATCAGAAGCAGGTGTTTAATGTTCTGCTACTGAGTTTTCTTCTAGCAGTAAGACAAGACCTCTAAGCAAGGATTCCCTTATATGCTCCATATTCTTCTCAGAGCTATGTTTTCCACTGAACTTGTTTTATTCTGAGGTAATAAGGCTTACGGGTCTTATATACTGTCCTTTAACATTGAATATCCATTCAGATGACATGGGAGAGGGCTTGCCCTCTTTCCTTAAAAGAGCCTGTGGGTCTTTCTGACTGTGGAACCTGTGGAGTCTGGAGCTCTTGAGCACAATCCTCTGCATTTAACATTTTGTTGTATATGCTACTGAGTTGAAGATAGGAGTTCAGATATCTTTGTTACATTTTTCCATAATGAAAGAGTACTAGCCCGAAAACGGCTGCTGGAAGTTGCTGGCTGAGAAGAATTTGTTACCACTTTTTCTCATGTGGAGCATCACTTTAGGATCTGTAACAGTCTGAATGCAGACTTCGCTGAAATGCGTGCTTGCCTTTCCACTGTGGTACATTATCAGTCACTGATGAACCCTTGTGATACCCAGAGGTTTATTACCATGGTTACATTTGAACAAAGACTTTTCCTCATTATGTGGGCATCCCCTCTTAGAGTTAATGAAGTTCCTAGTGGCAAAACAAGTGCTTTGACAATGCAGCTTTCAAGTTTACCTGAGTTTTATGTAACAGCATCTCTATAAGGACTTCTGCAGTGGGAAATACCATTAAAATATCACAATCTTAACTAACTTTGCTATATTGTCAAAGATTTTCAAGCTTAGACTAGACTAAATCCATATCAGAATGAAGATACCTATTTTCGCTGGGAGAAAGAGTAATAATTTGGGTCAGTAGTTTTTTTAAGAGCCATTATGATATGCAATCACTTTTAGAAATGAAAAGCACTTATTTCCCATTTTATTAGTAACTTCCAAACTGTCCATAAAGCAGAATTCAGCAAAGAAGAATATCTCCCTATGGCAATTCCTTTGACTTCAAGATCTGTTTACATCTCAGCTACATTTTATAATCTACTCTACTTGGAAAAACTTATTTTGGCTGTAAGGTGTTTTCAAATAGCTGTAAGATTTGATGTCAGTTTCTAATGATCCTCTGCATTCTGCTGGCAACGGATTTTTAGTTTGCACATTTCTGCTCATTTATAGTCATCCAATCTCTCAAAACTCTTGAACCATTTCAAGCAATTGACATGGAAGAGTGCTTTAATACCATCTGCTCTTGAAGTCTACATCCAGACTACCAGTAGCACCAGTAAGATGCAAGCAGTATAGCCTAGCACCCCTTCATAGACTTGTGCCTTAAACCTACAGTCCAATTGTGGGTGCCCTCCCCCCCTCCCAAATCAGATAATTTAATAGTAAAAATTAAACTATAAGAATAAGATACATCTGAGATACAACTCAAGAAGAGCATTATCTGTCGAGAAAAAAAGTTGTTGTTGGTGAAGGCTCAACAACCACTCTGTATATCTTTTAGGGGGTGTCACTTCAGATTGGGTCTAGTCTGATGCCATGGACTGAATTCCCATTTGCAGCTAGAGTCCTAAGCCACATCTTCAGTTTCATATGAAAAGAATCCAGTTCATGTGCTCTAATACTGCTATGGAGTTCAAATTAAAGCACAGTAAGCAGGGAGGATCAGGAGATTAATTTTAGAAGTGCACTTATCATCTGAACTAAATTGCTGATATGCACCCACCATTAGAGAAGATTCTTCCCCTGGCTCCATAGTGACCTCCACCAAGCTCTGTCAGAAATACTTCTGCTGTATGGATTACTTTACAGCTGTATCTAGGAAGAAGTCTTGCCCTCCTAATGTAAATAAGATGTTCCAGACTTGTATCTTAATAGGATTATATCTCTTAGTAATCTCTCAGAATTCTAAAGAGAAAACCACTATTCATAAGTACACTTATCTTTAGGTAGCTGCTGGGTTTACAGCTGTGCTTCCTGTTCTCTGCCACCACTTTCACAAGGACTTCGTGTCTGGAATTTTGTATAAACAGAGGAACTGAAGCACTAGAAGCCAGTGTTCTATACATCCTCACAGTAGACATTTGGCTGTATAAGAGGTGAAGCATGCAAGCAAGCCTCATGTCACAGCTTTATGTGTGTGACTGGGACAAGTGTTAATGACCCTGTAGTATATTGTCTGTAGAAGCTTTCTTCTTACAGAAGTAGTTACTGCTAAGAGAAATTGTGTTTGAATTAATTATGTTTTATTCTTTTGTAACCTTAGACCATCTTTACTATATGCCACATCCAATTAGATTCTTTAGGCTTCATTTTTGCTTTCTTGCCTTGAAATCTGCATGGTTTGGTAAAAAGCTGACATCTTTCACTAATCTGGTAGAAAAAATTGTCAGTCTAGAGTTAAGTAGCTCCATGTTAAGCTGCTCAGATTTTTATAAGCAGTTTGCTCTCTGCTTTTACAA